TCTCCCACTCCCCCTGCTGTGTTCCTGCTCTCACTATCTCTCTCTCTGTCAAATAAATAAATAAAATCTTAAAAAAAAAAAAAAAGAAAGAAAGAAAGAAAGGAAGTGCAGTCACTATCTTCTATTCGGCACCAGAACCTTTGTTTTCCTGAAGTTTGGGGACAGAAGGCTATTGAAGGTAATAAATGGATTGACAAGTGCTTCTAAGAAAGCCTGGGCAGAGTTCAGAATATTATCCTAGAAGGTAAAGAAGAACACTATGTAAATAGAGTTGCAAATCTCTTTGTATTGAGCTGACAGTTCAGTACCTTAATAATCTTACAGACACTAAAGTTCCGCAAGTATAAGACAATCCCTGCTTAATTAGTTCAATTACCATGATGTGGGCCAAAGAGCAAGGTTACATATATCCTCATTGAGAGAGAGATATCATTTTATATTAGTTTTCAGACACCTTCAGCTAAATTTCCACTGGGTTTTTTGGGGTTTTGGTTTTTAACAACATTTAAATTTAACTTCTTGTTCACCTTCCTTACTACTTGTTTTTGTCTAACATGATTTTTATGCCTTCAGGTGCCTATGAATTATTTATGCACCCATATGATTTTCTTTCTGCATCTCCTTGCTATGTTTTAAGTGAAAAGTTATGAAGGAATATTAAATAAGATGAGAGCAAAGCCAAGGGAAACGCAATATAGTTATGTGTGTGTATTGATAATGCTGGTCGTCAAGTATTACTGGACTCAGCTGAAAAAAAACCAAAAAACAAATATAAAACTGCCTTTACCAGTTGCTCATTTTATGTCATCCTAAGGCAAGATCATTTCCTAGAAGACACCATTCTGGAATATAACCCTTTCTCACCTCTAAATCTCACTAGCCCCCATTCCAGATACCAGGTAATTTTACTAAATCATAATACATTTTGTTAGCAGTATGGGGAAAGGGACTAAATGAACGTTGGATCATCTATTATGCCAGCAGGCAAATTACAAAGTTCCATTTCTCTGGATCAAATGCATTTGCAAATCAAACCCTGCAGTAGCTTCGAAAAAAGCAGACATTGCTAGACGCGTATTTTACATTCATTTTAAGTCATAAATCTTTAGACTGTCGTTTAAGTCCCCAGGTACAATTATATATCTTTTCATGCTGTTCACAGAGAGTAGAAGAATTCGCCACAGTTGCACCGTCCTATCCTAACAATGCATTTCCTTAACAGGTCTTTCGCGGAGATCCTCTTCTCCCTTAATCTTCTCCCAAAGCCATAACACTCATGCATTTGTCTATGATGGAAAGACAGTTTTAGCCTGAAATCCCCAACTTTGCATTTTCATCTTCAAAATCGCCTCTCTGTAGGGAGTTAGCCCCTTTCTTGGCTTTCAAGTAAAAAAAAAAAAAAAAGTGGAAACGGTGCTTCAAGTCGAACTTGATCTTATGTGTCTATCACCAGACACCTGTTCTTTCTTCTATCCTCACAGTTGGCCATACGATTTCTGTGTTAAAAATTATAGCTCCTACATCATGGAGTTAGAGATCAGAAAAAGTGCCTATCAAAACTGTTACGAAAGAAACCATCGGCTGACTTTCAACCGGCTTTCCAAGAAGGTGCTAAGTAATATATTTTAGTGGCTTGCGACATTCGGAAAGCAAGATCATAGATCCTTAAGTCAACTACAGCACACAATAAATGTTTTTTTTCCCTCTAACCCTGCTCCGATATATCTAGTGGAATCTTTTACTTCCTTTTCTTCGGCGACAAAAGAAAACATGCTGTCACGTAAAAATCACCTCTAAAACAACCGTGCAGTAATGGGGTTTGAGTCGTGTGTTTGGAGTGTAAAAAGCAAGCATGGCCTTGCTGTGTGACTGTAAACAATTCTTTTATTCTCTTGGTGTCCTGTGAGTTGATTTCTCTTTCTGTAAGATATACACAGCCTTTTATCAACTGTAGTAAGAACAGAAAAAAAAAAAATCTTGGGGAACTCTCAGCCTAGTGTTTTCTTTTATGCGAATTTTAAGTTCTGTTTTTTTGGCCTTTTTTTTTTTTTAAGGATCACAAGTTCATTTACTGACAGATATCAGCCATGTTGTAGCTTCATGTGTGCATCCACTATTTTAGCTACTGACATCATTCCATATTATTTTGGGGGGCCCAAATAAAAAAAATTAGATCCTGAATGGCCACTGAAGGCCTTTATGTTTCTCTTTCATGTAATACCTCTATTAAATAGTTTATTTTAACTTCCTTCTTTTCCAGATTGTTCATGTTTGGAATGTATATTTCTAAACCCCCCTCTAGTAATGATAAAATGGACTAGACTTGATAAAGCTTTCTGGGTATAGCTTTTCAAAACTCCTATTGATCCACCGTGCTTTCATGTTAAATAAAGAACTGAAACATCAGCTCTAAAACAAAATAACTTCAGCTCCAGCGCGGAGGAGGCCAGCCAGCCACTGGGTGGTTTTGATACCAGAAGGATTTCTTTCTTTTTTTTAAAAGATTTTATTTATTTATTTATTTGTTTGTTTGTTTGTTTGAGAGAGAGAGAGAAGGAGAGACAGTGAGAGAGTACAAGCGGGGAGGAGAGGGAGAAGCAGACTCCCCGCTGAGCAAGGAGCCCGATGCGGGACTCAATCCCAGGACCCTGGGATCATGACCTGAGCTGAAGGCAGACGCTTAACCGACTGAGCCATCCAGGTGCCCCGATACCAGAAGGATTTCAAAACCTTCCCTCTGTAGATGATCAGTTACACACCCACACTGGGGCATCAACATGAAGGTGGTGACCAGCGTGAGGCTGATGGAACTCTGCAGGTCCTGCAAGTCAGTTTGGCTAAAGTGTAACTTAGCTATTCTCGTGGAAGAGCTGTCCCCAGCCCCACGGGTCTGTGGTTGTACAGTGCCCCGTGGTCAGAGAGAAGGCATTTTTTTGTCCCTCTAGAGATGGATGGGGGAAGAGAACTGAAAGTCGATCATGTGTTAATCTTACAGCTATATCCT